ATTCTGCTTTAATACATGCACCCTTAACATCCTAAAAATACGAGTAGATGACAAAAAGTTTTTCAACTAAAAAATGTCTAATAATGGACATAAATAAATAGGACAAATTGAAAAATCAAGTATTTTTTTTATAAAATTATAAATTCTTTAATATAGACCGACAAAACTTTATCCTTGGTAGTACCAAATGAGTATATGCTGAAAAAAATATTTAAAAAATTCTTTGTTTATTCGTTGACCAAATAAAATTTATTAAAGTTATTTTTGAGGTAAAGCGTACGCCACTGATGTGTTTGTAAATAGTAATTGTAATAGCAACGGTAGTCGAAACCATGGTATTGATTTGATGAAAATGTACCTACTTGATCATTGCAACAATTCATAAACGCCGTAAGTGGCACGGATTAAGGGGGATTTGCCCCTAAAAGATATAAACGTAAAAAGGGTACAGTTTGTCTTCATTTATCCATGGGAAGCTGTGATAAAATTTTGTCGGTCTATTTAAGAATCACCTTGTCTTTTAAATATTTATTTTAAGACTTTCAAAGTCAAAGTTGGAAAAATTGGTATGTACCTATAAATCAAGAAACAAAAATTACAGCTTTTTATATTTTTTAAATCGTCTACAAAATTGCACTATCGCAATCGTCCCTGTTAAAGCACTCTTGTCTTTACTCGTGCGACAATATACAGGTTGTCACATATAATAAAGACCCTGCCCGATTTTCAGACGCAACCCAAAATATATTCTCATATGCTACTATGCGTTATACTTGATGTACAGTTGCGGAATTAAAATTTGGGGCAGTATTGTCATTTTCACAATGTAAAAAAAAGTTTAATTGTCAAATGTTAGTCATGATGACAGTAAAAGGTAGTTTACAGTGAACTTTTTGAAGTGACAGAAAAATACTGCCCGAAATTTTAATTCCGTAACTGTACTGTTTGAAATTTTTCAAAGTTATAATTATAAACATAGACATCTGCGATAGCTTTGACAGTTTTTATAATTTGGGTACCTTTAACGGGACAGATTTAGCCACATCATTTTTGTGGCATTCTCCATATACCAAAGTTATGTTAGTTTTTTAATCATTTAAATACATTTCTAACTCAAGAAGATATAAAATTGGAATTGATGACATTGTCAAATTTTATGCATTACATATCAACAATCACTTTGATTTAAAATATTCAAATAATTAAGTCTTACAAACGCAACAATAGACAAGTTATCTGTGAGAATGTATTTTGAGTTGCGTCTAAAAATCGGTTAGTCTTTATTACCCTTTATAGGTAGGTACAAACTAAAAAATAAAAAAGCAAGGTGTGGAAGTATGCAAATATTTTTTTAGCTTGGCTTTCTTTTAGAGCCCATGTCATAGTCGTATAAACAAATTCTACTTCACATTGTCTAACTTTAAAAACATATTGACAATAAGTATAAAACAAAGGATTCGAGTTGACGGACGCAATTTTGAGGTTGTATATCTGTTCTTTGTTTTTCTAGACAATTGTCTCAGCATAAAAACGTACGCTATATTGAGTTTGTGTTTGTCCTGAAAACCACACATTAGGATAGTAGAAAAGGAATGTAAATTAGCCATTACAAATGATTAAATTCCACAGTTTAATTGTGATAATGACAAAAACACAACTGCATTTTCAAACAATTAAAGTGTCACGCGCCTAGTAATTTCTTAGACAAAGACTCTTAATCCATGCCAAAAGTGCAAAAAAAAATTCTGAAGTTATTCCAAATTTTTTTATCTCATCTTGAAGATGGACGAAACTATGCGGACACGTCCCACAAAAATGTCCATGTTGCTATAAAATTAATTGGAGACCGGAGTCTTATTTAATTAGACACAGGCTATCTCAAATAAATCAAAGAGATTTTCCAACAGTCTGAAGTCTGAAACAACCTATTGTCTGAATTCTTCTCGGCATTTCGCTTCGTCGGAATTTCTAAAGCACATTCCATTGTTTTCAACTTTTGTTTCATTACGGTCTTTGTCGTATTATAATTTCTTTTAAAACTTTTACTCACTGCCCCCAGATTTAGCAACAAAAAATACTACCTAATTTATCATTAGTTATCAAACTACTAATTCAAAAAATTAAAATTACATACATTTGTGGCCATCTTTGTGAAACAGATGAAATCGTAAGTGATCGATTGCAGTACTAGAGAAGAAAAGAGCACTGTGTGCTGTTTCGTTTAGCTACTCGCTACGAGGTGGCATTACATGCACCGCTTAAAAAGCAAATTATATTATATCTTTGTTGCATTTTTTATTACTCCATTAAAATTACCTATAATTACCGGAACGTCGTACCTGATTGAGTGAAAAATACTAATACTCTGCTTAATTGCTTATTGCTACTTAAATGTAATTGTTTCTAGGCCAACTACGAGAAAATGTAACACATTTATGAAGACATTGTTGACAAGGTTCCACTTGATTCAGTTTTCAGATTTCAAAACTCATACTGGAATATACTTTTCTTTTCCAAAAACTAATTCAGTTGTTAATTTTCTGGCCGCAACAGTAATAACAAAAGAAAATCCAGTACCTGAGAAATTCAAGGATGCGAACTATGGAAGATCAGTCCAGGTAAAAATTATTGTGACCTGACCTGGTCCATGGTTTTGCGGACCTTTTATCAGGTGCGTACAAATCCATATCGCAGGTAAGGCGGCTAGGGTAGAATTCAAAGCAAATAAATTTTATGACCTGTATACCTGGTATAGGTTCTTGGGAGAGACGACGATTTTTACAAGGCATGATGGATTGCAGTTGCAACGCGACAGAAGTAATAATTTATTATTCATTTTATATAAAATTAGAACTGCCTTCAAGGTTTTTTACCATACCAAGTCGATATACAGAAAGCAAAGTAAATTAAACTAATTCGAATTAAGTTTAGTTGGCATTGTTAGCCATGAAATTAATCTCACATTAAAATTTGATAGAAGGAACGTGGTTTACATGTTAAAGTAATGTAAGAATTACTCGTCTACAATAAAATTATGTATAAGTAAAATATTTCGTAGTATGTATAACAAAACTAGATTCCAACTATGTATTTAGAAAGCAAAATGCTTAAGAATTAGTAGCAGCAAACAAATTAATTCGACGTAGAAGCAATTTTTGGCCACTTTTAACGTCAAAGTTATCCATGAAAGTTCGATTGTGAACGAACCGTATTAAAAATTGTGGTCCGTTCACAACACACTCAAATCACTGCCAACTATGACGCGAAATTTAATAAACACTCGTTACATCTAATCAATGTATGAATAATTATAATTGATATTTACTTTATGAACAATCTTTACAGCGGATAAAACATAAAATGGAACTGCCTAATTTATCGCAGAAGTATTATATTATCTTTGTACAACAAAACTTTTAAATTTACAAAAATTTTTGTGGAAAATAAGATCTTGTTAATGTTGTTAGTTCTCCATTACACACCATTTGTCATAGAGACGAAAAACGAATGAAAGGACCACAATAATCTCTCTGAATAAATGGTAGTACATATACTCTACCTATCTGCAACTTAAAAACAGTTATTATTATTAGTTACACAAAGGCTCCTTCGGCTTTGAAAAATTATAAAAATTCTTCTTTTTCAAGGTCTACCAATACTCGTATAGCAATTTCTGGAAACTTAATCTTTCCCATTTAGATGTTGCAAACAAACTAATTATTGGCACAAAAACAGGAAATGGCAAAAGAGCTTTGCAACATTTAGATTTTGTAATGTATTAAGAAAAAAAATCACAACAACAAAAACTTACTGCAAATGTAAAATTTTACTGCCTGTACAATGTAGTACATATAGGCTGCGCCAGAACTCGCGCCCCCGAAGAAAATGCTTTGCAAGATAAGATACCAGGAACATGGAAAAAATGTTAAAAAAATCTATGTATAAAATATTCGAAGTTATAAGAATTTAAATTTTGCACTTTGAGCCGTAACTCTGTTTAATGTTATTTGTGGCTTTTATGGGCAAAATTTTTGTACCTTTACTAAATAATTATAAAAAAACATATACAAGATTATCAGTATCATTAAATATACATAAAAAAATGTCAAGTGTCAAAAAATAAATGTCAAAATTTTTTAAAATGTTTTAAACATTTCTTCCATGTTGCTGGTATCGTATCTTACATGGCATTTTTCTCTGGGGCGCGAGTTCTGGCACACCCTGTATATTCAAATTAAAAGTGCATAACATGTAAATTTCAAATCTTTAATACTGTATTAGCTTTAATTATAAAATAGTATTAATTAATGTAACTAATGGCATAAAAAAGTCAAAAACGTACAGCTCTCTTTTTTTTAATTTTTACTAAGTTCGATGCTCATGTGGCCATAAATTTCCGTGAAAAAAGGGCTAAAAGTTGCTGAAAATTTGTATGTGTAAGCCCAGCTTTATTTAAATGAATATTTTTAAAACAAAAAGTATTTTCAGTTTCCAGAAAGCGCCGAAGGAAAAACTGAATTTTATTCAGTCCTATCCTCTTGAAATTTCAAGGGAATATCTCTTTCGCTGTCCATGTATCTTCATCTCTATTTCACTAATACAAATCAATATTTACATTTCAACATTGCCGTTTTATTTGTTTTGTAAAAAGTTTGTATTTGAAAAACAAACTAAAAACAATACTTTCGTAGCAATGTTTACAAAAGGCAGTTCCCTGTCCCCCAACGCGAAAAAAACTTTGCTCTGTTTCCCGAAATGATTTCAATTTCAAATTCAATTAAAAGATTTGGTGTCTTTTTCGGCAAGTTGGCATGTGTTCTAACGTGGTTCTAACCTAAATTCTTCGAAAAATGCAAAACCGCCCCCTCGGTGGAAGGGGCAAGTATCCTCGTGAAAGTTAAAAATGCCGCCGTGAGCGACCGAATCGATACGACGTTCGATGGTCACGTGGTGCGCACTCGGGCCAATGGCAGCACTCGGAACTTAACTTGCTAGTCCGCCACACTCTCGTCGTCAGTTTGAAATGAGTCGTTGTCGAGGTGAGATCGCGCTCGTGCTGCTTCTCGTGGTACGCACGTAATGTGCAAATAGTGGTTTCGACTATGATGGAGGACCCGACGCAAGTGATGTTCACGGAGCTGCCCGTCCCGTTGCTGTCCACCGCGGCTATCATCCGCCATCACACGCGCTACCAGCCCTACCAGCGGCTGCACCAGCCCCAGCACTTCCACACGCCCGTCCAGGAGCTCCACGCGCTGCAACCCGACCTCGGCACCACGCACATCTCGTGCCTCTATCCCGAGATCCTGGCCATCATCTTCAGCTACCTGGAGGTGCGCGACAAGGGCCGCGTAGCGCAGGTGGGTCCACTTCTTCCATAAACTTTCAAAACTGTTATAAAATTCAAATTGTTGAAAATTCAGATGCCCCACCTTTTCTCGAAACGCCAAGGAAACGGTCAACTGACAATGGATGAGTTCAAATGAAAATTAATTAAATTGCTATCTTATAAATCTAACGATTGTTTTTATTGAAACAGTTACAAGATTTGAAGCAAAATGCGTTTTGTTCATTCATTGTTGATTTTTGTATGGAATATTTCAGTCTTTAATTGAAACCCCTAGGAACTGGGTACTAAGTTGGGTGACTCTGTATTTACTATCTATAAGTTTTAAAAACTATTTTTGTATTCGGTATAATAGTCCGTTTTTCAATCTAAAATTATATATCTATCAGCATTTTTCGTCTATTTAACACGTGAATAGAATTTAAAAAAATCATACTCTTGATTTTTTATGAAATTGTTCTCTGTTATAAAAACTTTAAATTTTATTTTTTTTTTATAGCGACCATGTGTTATACAAAATGACATTTCTAGTTTCATTAACTCATCTACCCACAGGATAAAACACCAGAGAAATTTCGAAATCTGATTTAATTTATTACTATTATTATTAGTTCTTTTCGCAAATTAATTGGGTTAAATCGACGTCATCAAAGGTCTTCCAGTTTGGTAAACGTCATTTTGCGTGTCATAGTTTTTATATTTTTGTTTAATGATTAAGAAGATTCATATTACTGCGACTTATGCATCTGATTACACTGTCTAGACAAGTATGGAATTTGAGACTGAGGTTTCATTTTAGAAAATATTGAAGAAGAATATGGAAAGGTTCTTCGACACAAACCGTTATTTATGTTAAAAAGCAAAATCATCTTGCTGTTAAAACTTCTGACCACATGTTTGTTAGAGCCAAGTAGTGTTCGAACCTTCTCGAATTCTACCTACCTACCAGCTGTAATAATTTTCAAAAAAAAAAACGTAGACATTTGGTATTTAACTGCATTTTTCAAATACTTGATATGATAATATAAATGCGAATATTAAGAATAATTCATGATGATATCTTGGTATACCTAGTACATATCTTCCTTTACTTCATTCATTGTAATTTATTGTAGGTAATATTATTTTTATAAATAGGTAGGATTTGTATTATTATTTTTTGAAACAAGCACAATTCTTTTTTGGAATTGTTAGCCTAACTTTCAACATTTCTTCTATCCATTTATTGCCATTCATATTTGCTTTTTGGCCCTAGACTAGGTTAATAAAAAGGTTTTCACGTTCAGGTTTTTTCTGGGAGTATTTTCCGGAATACTTTATACCTACACTAAAAACGTTTCGCATTGAAGGTATATGAAGTTATTATTAAAAATCCTGAAATATACTTACTATACAAAGTAACATGACTATTTGGGTTACCAATTTTTCCGGTTGTTATTAATTTGATACTGACTGCATCATTTGGCACTTCAAATTGCCTTCAAATTATTTGGAGTTACAAGCAAGCATCTTTTTACATAAAAAATACGACCAAAATCATGTCCAGTTGCAGTATTGCAAACAACTGAATAAAATTTAATTTAATAATTTTAATGTTGTTGCATTATTGAATACCTTGTACAATAACAAAGATAAAATTAAGAAATTCTAGAATCTTATGGTTCTTTTTTTGACTACGTAGGTTCAAAAATACGAAGTACACAATAGCAGCTGATTTAAAAAAAAATACCACTTCGATGTTAACAAGAAATATCTTATTTTATAAAAATGTAGTTTTATAGCTATTAAAAATACAAAAACTACTTATTTCTACAAGAATTTGTATTGAACCTTACTTGTTACATGTCGCCTCTTTTGTTTTTCAACGCAGCATACTCATATTTCACAATTTCTGAGTTATGAATCTAGTAACCAAGTGTTAGTTACTAAAAGAATGATTATTTATTGGAAAATCAGTACCTATGTAATTGTTTGTAATAATTGATTGTAATTTAAATCTTTGGAAAAAATGTGAAATTTTCGATTCATCTATTTTTTCCTTTCCTATAAACATTATTTTATTTAGAACTTTACAGTATGCACCTAGTAATAATAATTTCGATATTTTGTCAATTGTACCAAGAAAAGTTTGCGTCAGGTGTCTGCTCCCATCAGTTGAGATGAGTATAAGGAGGGTTCGGCGTATTCACAAAACATACTGTATAATTGCCACATGTGTGTCCATAGACACATATGGAACATCTGCAGAAAAATTGTTACCTTCTGTAATTGTACCGATTTTAGTTGATAGGTTTTTTGTTGGAGATTCCAAACTATGACATTTAATTTTAGTTGGTATTCGTATTTTTGAAGCAGTATGAATGCAAATCAAAACAACCAAAAATTTATAATACTAATTTTAGGTGTTGTTGGTTGACAATGAGGTAAATTGTCAAAAAACTCAACTTTGTAAGTGATTCAAATATACAAGGTGATTCTTTTAGGGCCTATATTAGAAACTTTTTAACTTCTAATGCAGATAGAAATTTGAAATTTTGTACACAACCCAAATCAACCAGTCTGAGTTCAACTAAATTATTTTCAAAATGGCTGAACTTCCGGAACTACGAGAAATTGGCGCCAACTTTGAAATTTTAAATGGTAACCAATTATTTTTATTACATTTTTGAATTCTCCTCTCCAAACTGAGTAAAATGTATCTAGTTGTTAATACTTATCTATCATAGTTTTTGACGTATGTCAATTTTTTGCTCAAAATTTTCATTTGCAGAGGTTTATTAAAAACATCACAGCTCTTGAACCGTTTGCAATAAGTAAATAATTTTTCTTGCATTTGATAACCAAAGGTTCGAAGAGTTTCCTAAAATTTTCAAAATTGTCAACTATCAAATTGCAAAGCTTATATGATTTTTTGAAAATGATATGTAATAAACAGCTATAACTCAGTTTTTTCAAATAAAATGACCCCATTTTCTCAACGGCAATCGAAAGTACATCGATTTGTAGAAGGACTTTTATCAACATGTCCTATATCCATCTCTTACAGTTTCCGAAATAATCACGAAAAACGTGGTTTTGTTTTTTTTATTTTTACAGTAAATCACGTAGCCTTTGGAAAATGATCAAAACGAATTAAAGATTTATTAGTCTACACAACACCCATCCGGAATTACAAAGAATTGAGGCGGCATTTAATAATCTTCAACCAAATGAACTAATGGAAGCCACTCAAATCAGTTCACCATCGAGTTTTGGACTGTTTGAAAATGGTAAACATATCGAACATCTGTATTAATTATAAGTATATCTTATTGTATTTTTCCAAAGCCTACGTGATTAACTATAAAAATAAAAACATTAACATGTTTTTTGTGATTATTTCAAAAACTATAAGAGATAGGTATAGGACATGTTGATAAAAGTCCTTCTACAAATTGATGTAGTTTTGATTGCCGTTGAGAAAATAGAGTCATTTCATTTGAAAAAACTGAGTTAAAGCTGTTTGTTAATGATCATTTTCAAAAAAACATACTAGCCTTGCAATTTGACAGTCAACAATTTTGAAAATTCTAGAAAACTTTTCGAACCTTTGGTTTTCGAATGCAACAAAAAATATTCACTTATCGCAAAGGGTTCAAGAGCTGTGATGTTTTGAATGAACCCCTGCAAGTGAAAATTTTAACCAAAAAATTGACATATGTCAAAAACTATGATAGTTAAGTACTAACAACTAGGTACATTTTACTTAGTTTAAAGAGGAGAATTCAAAAATGCAATAACAATAAGTGGGTACCATTTAAAATTTCAAAGTTGGCGCCAATTTCTCGTAGTTCCGGAAGTTCAGCCATTTTGAAAATAATTTAGTTGAACTCAGACTGGTTGATTTGGGTTGTGTACAAAATTTCAAATTCCTATCTGCATTAGAAGTTAAAAAGTTTCTAATGTAGGCCCTAAAAGAATCACCTTGTATACGATGTATGCTTCAATGTTAGTTTCAAATTGCATATTAGTCACAGAAATTATACTTACTTTTACATAAAAATTTAATTATTTTCAATCATTTTATATCAATTTTGAATGCATTCCAATTTTTTTTTCTTTTTTCAGGTGTGCACCGCGTGGCGCGACGCCGCCTACAACAAATCCGTGTGGCGCGGCGTCGAGGCGAAACTCCACCTCCGTCGCGCCAACCCTTCTTTGTTTGCATCGCTGGTGAAACGCGGCATCAAGCGTGTCCAGGTCCTCTCGCTGCGCAAATCTCTTCGGGATGTTATCCAGGGCATCCCCAACCTCGAGTCGCTCAACCTCAGCGGGTGTTACAACGTGGGCGACGTAGGTATTTCGCACGCATTCGTCGCCGACGCGCCCACCCTCACTGAGCTTGACCTCTCGCTATGCAAGCAAGTCACCGACACCTCCCTCACGCGCATCGCCCAGCACCTGAAGAACCTCGAAGTCCTCGAACTCGGGGGCTGCTCCAACGTCACCAACTCCGGCCTGATGCTCATCGCTTGGGGCCTCAAGAAGCTCAAAAGACTGAATCTGCGCTCGTGCTGGCACGTCGGTGACCAGGGCATCCAGCATCTGGCCTCTGGCAACCCCTCGCTCGAACACCTAGGGCTCCAAGACTGTCAAAAACTCTCCGACGAGGCTCTCAAGCACGCCACCGGCTTGACGTCCCTCATATCCATCAATCTCAGTTTCTGTGTTAGTATAACGGACAGCGGTTTGAAACACTTGGCGAAAATGACGAATTTACGCGAGTTAAATTTGCGCTCGTGTGATAACATCTCCGATACGGGAATGGCGTTCCTCGCCGAAGGCGGTTCGAGGATTTCCTCGTTAGACGTCTCGTTTTGTGATAAAATTGGCGACCAAGCGCTTGTGCACATTTCGCAAGGACTGTTCAATTTGAAAAATTTGTTGCTGAGTGCGTGTCAAATCTCGGATGAAGGTCTCGCCAAAATCGCGAATTCGCTCCACGACCTGGAGACGCTCAATATTGGACAGTGTAGTCGAGTGACGGATAAAGGGTTGACGACGATCGCCGAATCGCTCCTAAGACTCAAGTGCATCGATTTGTACGGCTGCACCAGGATAACGACGGTAGGACTCGAACGAATTATGAAATTGCCGCAGTTGAGTGTCCTCAATTTGGGGCTGTGGCACGTTAGGTGAAACGTATTTGTTGAAATTTGCGCCCTCCGAAGGAAACGAGCTCGAGATGACCAAAACGCATTCATTCCCAAATCTCGACTGAATTCCAGACGACGGCGATTTAATGCTGTGATAGAATTTAAACGAATGACGTAAAGTTCGACTAAAGTGAAATTAAACGTAAGCATCGTAACCAATGAGAACTGATTTTCAATAAGATTTGACACTGCTACAGGCCTTGGAATTTTTTTTCGAAACCTTCACTAGCACGTAGCACCACAAATTTTGCAATATTATACATCGAATTGTGATTTGTTTCTTTCGAAAAATGTGATAGCGGTTAAACAATCATTTTCGAAAACGTTAAGTTTGAATTTCAACACTTTGTTAGCCGGTTATACGTATTTTGTTCCGTTTTTGCTTTCTCATATGTTAGTTGTTCAGTTTTTTTGTGGTGCAGAACTTTGTTTATAAACAATTTTTCAAACTGTAAAAATGTACAGTGATCATTATAGTATTTGTAAATAAACGTAAAGTTATCAATATTTGTTACTATTACGTTATGTTTTTATAAATTAAACAAATTTAAACTTAATAAAGTTTTTATCAACAAAATTATCGTCTTCATTATTTTCACCCCAATTACAGTCGTTATTCTAGCTATCATAAAATTTATTATTTATGGCGAAATTAATTTTAATGGAAATATTGAAAAAACATATTAACAATTTAACACAGAATCGATAAACACGATAATTTTTTTAACGAAAATTTCACGAATGCATGTCGATTCAGTAATTCAGGTAATTTGAGACGTCGTTCACGCACTTTTCTAACGCAGGAAGTGACTGAATTATTTATAAATTCACCTTCATTGTGCGGGTCACCGGCCATACAATGTAAGTACCGACATGAAGTACATAAAAGAGTAAAACTCACGTAAATAATAAAAACAAGAATACATATTTTACAAGATTTCATTGTAAAACATTTTTAACCGAAAACAAAACTGCCGTAAACTTGATAGCTCAAACGATTGCATTTAGAACATAAAGAAATATGTCCATCATTCACATATATGTACGTGTAACCTGTATTTTAAATAAAGCCAGACACATACATATATTATTTCAAACTTACATGGTAATTTCATTATTAAAACACATTTACGGTAAATTATGTTAGCAAGGATTAACATAATGCTTTCTATTGCAGTTCTTAAAATAACTATAATCTGATAGCACTTTATAGATATAACTATGGCAGAATTAAATTTGTCACTTAAATCGAATTTAAACGACACAGATATAAATTACAACATTGAAATTTTCTAAAATTAAATTGTTTTAGTAATCGATACATTGCAAAATTCATGACACAAACAATGTAAAAATATGCATATGGTGACTATTTTCAAATTTGGTCGGTTTATTGTTCTATTCATCAGGCAATTGTAAACAAGTACAGGTTAAAAAACTTTTGAGGTCATTTTATTTTGAAGCAGCTAAATACTTCAAAATTAATATGTAATTGGAAAAAAGTCTGTGTTACACCTAATAATGTACAGGACGTTAAATAAATTTTTATTTAACTTATTGCCCACTTAGAGGGCAAGAAATATTCAGCAAAATTTTGTAAAATATGTATTACATATTATTATACTAAAATACAATCAGAAATGCTTCACAAAACCGTGTATTTTTGTAAAGATTTTAAACTGCAACATTTTACAACTTGAAAAATTTAAAATTATTACTCAAAAGGCTTTTTTATATATTTACGTTTCAGATAATTCTTTTTAATAATTGTTTAAAATATTATCATTTAAACTAAACACAGTTCCAGCGATAAATTTCAAATTTACCTTTTTTCTGTTCCAATTCACAATTTTGAAGAAACCTCGACCCAAAAAAATTAAATAAAAGCCACAATTCACAAAGATGATTTTTCACTTTAAAAATGACCGACTTTTCGTAACGTGTAGGTGACTTTGTCGATTATTTTATGAGTAATTTCTGCTTCAAAATGTTAATATGAAATATAAACAAAAACTTGAATGGGATTTACAAATAATTGAAAACAAGAATATTTTTCGTCTACACAATACGAGTACAGTGTAGATATCAGAAATATGTAGTTGAATAAAACAACACAGTCCTCCAATTGTTGCATAAAAAGTAGTGGAAGGTTTTATCAAATTTACCCGTCACTGAACTGAATTTTTCTATTATTTTAGATGTTTTCAGCACCTTTTTAGCCGATTCGGATAGAATAGAAAAATAGGGTTTTCGAATAAAAAAACGTGACTGCAAATAGTTTTTTTTTAATTATTGTGGACCACATGTAGATAAAGTTTTTTAAATTATGAATTCTATATTCCAAATCTCATAAAATCGCTCTCAATGTATCCAAATTGTACAAAATTGAAAACTTTTCATTGGAGTAATACATATAGATTTCAATAACTGGTAGCTTTTCATTTAATTCTTGTTATTTAATTTCCTTTTCATTGCCATAAATGAGTATAATTTTCCAAGAAAATGAAAATTTATTCCGTCGTAACTGAATAAAATTCATAGAATATTCCAACACCCATATCTTCATCAGTCGTCTGTCGCAAGACACAAAATGAATACTTTTTCGTAAGAACATTTCATTAAAATAAATACATACAATTCGCTCTTAATTGTAATGAGTCACTTTCAAATGCAAAACAATAAAAACGTATTATGACGTAAATTCATTGTGAATAATTTCTGTGTTGGCAATTGCGTGTGCGCATACACACACAAAATAAGAGTTATCTCACGTAATTAGGTACACATTATTTAAAAATCTACTTCGCAATGTTAGGAATCGAAACAGTTTTGTAACACTACCTTGTACTAAAAATCAGATCTATAACTTATTACGTGAAAATTATTTTATCCATATGACGGAAGAAATTTGGTTCATACGAAATAATTGCGTTTAATTAAAATTAATTGGGTTTGATGCATTGCGTACTTAACGGTATTCCTTACTGTATGAATTTGATGAAAAAATAATTAAATTCAATACAGACCAGTATTCGCTTTATTATATTCCTAATCCATACAAGTTCCTCTAGAATTGGAATATTTATTTCAGTTTGAAATGAATGATAAGGAAACGTTTTGCTAGAATTTTGACTTAAGTTAAGCTATTATTGGGCCGTATATGGTTGAAATGGATAAAGTTACGGTATAAGCAACCGAAATTTGTGTGTAAATGTAAAAATTATTTAAATTAAATTGTTTTTCTAATTTAGTTTTTTCAACCAAAACAATAAATACATCAGGAGCCAGCAATCAATAAGGTTTCTTAACTGTTCTGTTCTTTGTAAAATAAAAAATACCGAATTTTCTGGTCTTTGTGACATGTAATTACTCACTGTTGCAATTATTGACGTCATTCATACAAACACATAATGACATCATAACCGCACATGTTTGTGGTATGATGACTTTGTCACTCAAACCAAATTTGGTTTATCCTTTGTTGTAGAACGCACGGGACTAGCAATCATTTTGCTAGGAAAAAAAATTGATGAGATGAATATAAATCTACAAAAAAATTAAATTCAGTAATAGCATGAAATATAAAAAAAAACATAGGTAGTAAGCTAAAAGGAATAATTAAAAAACTAAATATTTCTTTTGTTTTTCTAATTTTTATATACACTTAATATATTTTTCAAATAATTAATAGAGAGTAAACCATTGCTCAAGACAATTTTAGGAAGTTATTAAAATGTTTTATAGATTTTTCAGTTTTTGATGAGAAGTTTAGCTAAAAAAATATAGTTACATTCCAAACATATTTCTGTTTATAAAACAATTTAAAGTAGCTTAAAATATGAAAATGAGCTAACAAAAGATGTTGTCGTCTGGAGTGAACATACAAAACCTGTTTTGGACATTATTTTTAATATTTAAACAATTACATGAGTCATTATTTAATTCCCTTTTAAACAGTAACATTGTCTGATAATTTTTACATTAAAAAATCATAAAAATACTAACCATTATATTCAAACACATTACTTCCTAATTACTAAAAAGATAAAACTTTTTTAATTCATAATAATAATTAATATATCGGTTTGGTAAATTTACCATTTTTGGTATAATTCTCTACGCTATCGACTTTCTACCATTACTCTCTGACTCATCTATGGTGAAGAACCGTATCGCAGATTAAATGAAGCAAATCTTGTGTCATAATCATAACATTTCCTGGGATCTAGCAACTGGTTCATATTAACAAACGCAAACAAAATCTTGGTTGAATCTAGCAGAATCACGGGGTAAGTAGGTAATAGAGTTGTAAGTAAAATTATAATTGTCATGTGAACCACTAAAATAATGTATAACAAGATATATACATATCTTTGTTACCAGCCACCCAAAGCGATTAAAGTGTATTTTTTTGCTTTCTTTGATGGAACGAATTGAAATTAATACTTGTATTATTATTGCCCAAGATTGAATAAGTTAAGTAAGTAATATTTTTTACTCAATTTTGAAATAACTTTAAACAGACCATTTCTAACAATACGGGGAACTTTTTGCCCCAACTGCCTGACGAAACTAAAAGTTAGTGTGCTCAACACCTATTTTGTTAACTAATATTTTATAAAGTTGAACAGCTATGAATGGAAAGAGAAGATACAAACGAGAATAATTTGTTCATCAAAAATCGAATTGGGTACTGCCCGAATTATTAATTTTCTCCTGACTGAACCTAGGAACTCAAGTAAATAGAAAATGCCTTGTGATCAGTTGCAAACAATAAAATTACCTACTTCATTTTAACATTGTTGAAATTACAGAAAATGTTTTTTCATAATAAAACGGAGCCAGACATTTTTTAAGTTTTATCCTTCAGGTTGTAAATGTAAAATTAAATATATATATATTTTTGAGATTACCGCTAACCCAAAGACCTGAAATAAATAATTTTTAGCAAGATTGCTAATCTTTTATAAACATAAAATTGGGACAACAACAAAGACGAATATTTATTGCCTGAAACATGAAATCGATCTAATTTTCATATACGAGTAACATGTACAATTACGAATAAAGGTAAGTGAATATATTTGTTTATTTTAAAATGGCTTATCATTTTGAAATTATCAGAAATCACTGTTAGACTATTGCAGTATTGAAATCTCTATTATTTTATATTATCAATCGGACGATATATCGCAATAGATACCTCATCTTCAATTCATTTATTGTTGTAAATACACACAGTGTGTCCCCGGATACGTAAAACGACGACTCTTGCAAAAGATAAAGAAAATCGATTTAGATTTTGATTAAATAAATTAATTAAATTAAATAAACAACTTTTCTTAATAACTTTTTGTCGTATTTGCCATATAAAAGCCCTTTACAAAAAAATAGAAGTAGTTTTATTGAAAATTTCCAAACTTGATCTTTCAAAACTAAAATTATGTTAAAAATTATTTTTTACCAAGCAGGGCTGAAACTCAAAAAAATTTTTTTACAAGAGTCGTTTTATTCTACCTATCCGGGAACACACTGTATATGCATGTATAAATTTTATAACGAAATTACTCT